CAACACCCCCCCCTGTAGCAAAAATCTCTCAAACAAAACAAAACGAAAAAAAAAAAAAAAGGGACCAGCACTTGGCATATGGCTGTTGCTGGACTCCCACATGGTTGACGCAGCTCGAGTCCCCGACCCAGTGGAAACTCATGCAGGGTGCATGTGCGTGCGTGCCCAAGATCTGAGAGGAGAATGGAGGAGAAGGGATTGCCATGGCTATCCTCCTGGGGGGTGGGGTGGTTTCTCGCTTTCTGTCTCTCTGTCTCTGTCTGTCTTTCTGGCCAGCGCAGGTGCCCTATAGCAAAAACCTCTCGGGAACCAGCAGTTAGCGTAATGGCTATGTCGCTGGACTCACACGTAGTCGACAGCGGTTCGCGTCCCAGACCCGGTGGCTTAGAACTCACGCCAGACGCTTATGCGTGCGTGCCCAAGATCTGAGAGGAGAATGGAGGAGAAGGGATTGCTGCGTGACCATCCCCCCTGGGGGGTGATTTCTCGCTTTCTGTCTCTCTGTCTCTGTCTGGCGAGCACACACGCCCTATAGTGAAAAAAGCTCTCCAAAAAAAATAAATAAATAAATAAATAAAATAAAAATAAAATAAAATAAAAACTCTCAAAAATAAATAAATAAATAATCTGCTGAATAAATGAAACCCAAAGCTTCATTTTAGGAGACTAGAAAGGGCCTGGAGAGGTTAGATGGCAGCTCAGGGGCAAGAAGCCAGTCCCCCGCAGTGCGTGGGGAGGCCCTCTTACCTGCACCCAGATTCTTCTGAGCTCTTGAGTAGACGGAACCTCAGGGGAGGGACCTTCTTCCCAGCAGAGGGCTCCTGGGCTAACTATCAATGGATGGATGGCTAGTGCAGTTCTGATCCGGACCACCCCGACCCAAACTCCAGCGCCACCGCTCACCTAGCCTAGCAAGTCACCCCTACCAGACTCACTTCACTCTTCAGCAAAATACAGACAGTAACTGAGCCCGAGTTGTACAAGCCAGCGCGAGACCAGTGCGATGAGCCATAGTGAGTCGTCCAGGTACCTGGCGTCTCCAGTGGGGGCTCAGGAAAGGTCCCCTTCGTGGTCTCACTACCCAGTGGCAACTTTGCAGGACATGCCTTCAAGGCAGGCGTGTGTGTGCAACATGGAAACACGTGGCGTGCGGTAGGAGGCTAGCAATAATCAGTAACGGTAAATTCCCATTTATGAGCCAGACACACGTGGCCAGCACGTCCCGTGACCCTCTGGGCCTAGTTCGCGACATCTCCCACGTGCCGGCTCCTCCGAGATCCGGGTTCGAGGTTCAGTGACCTTGGACCAGCCCCGTTTCTCCCAGAGCCTTGGTTTTCTCGTGCAAAACACTAGCGGCGAACAGCCCCCAGGCCAGACCCGGCCCGCCCCCTAGGGTCCCGCGAGGTCACGCGGCACCGCGGGGCGCCCCA